GTCCTGTTTTTTTTTTCTATTTCGAGAAAGCACAGTTTGCATTACAGAGCACCTTTTTTCGAAAGAGCACTTTCGAAAAAAGGAGTTATTCCTCGTGAAATGAGGAGTACCGCCGTCGAAAGAAAAGCCACATTCTTTCAATTTAATTTCGAAAGAACGCGGCTGTAGTCTAGAAGCAGGTGAAGTTTTTTTGAAAAAAGGCTACTTTTTTCGAAAAAACCCTGCAGTCTAGACACAGCCTAAGGGTCTAGGAAAAGATTAGTGTTTCTTTGTCCTTTTCAGGTTTGTGACTTCTTTCTCAAAGTAAAAAATGCTGGCAACCACTTTGTGTTTATTAGAAAAGTAAGAATTTAACATGTATCTATGAGAACAATAAGCCTATCACATTTGTATGTGTTTTGAGGATTTGACAAGGAATACTTAACTTTCAAGGGTAAGGGCATGCAGAGAGTGGGGGAACGAGGTTTTCTTTGCTTAGTTTGTAAGAAAATGTTTAATGTCTCGTAATCCTACCCTCCATTTACCTTTTCATGACCTCCACGGTGGTTGTGATGCATAGATTGAGAAACACTGCTTTAGAGCAAGAGTTCTCAAATTTCATTGCAACCCCCTTCTGACAACAAAAATTAATATACAACTCCAGAAGCAGCGTCCAAAGCTTGGGACCACCCAATCCCTGCTGCCTCATTGGGAAACAAATGCCCACCAATCCTGGGTGTGAAGGCAAAACTCAAGGGCTTTAGCCCCAAGTGGGGGGGTCAATAATCTCAGCCCTACCACCCAGGGCTTCTGCTTCTGTTTCAGGTCCAGCAAGTCTATGCCAGCCCTGGCAACCCCATTTAAATGGAGTCGCAACCCACTTTCAGGTCCTGACCCATAGTTCGAGAACCACTACTCTAGAGCACTAAACTAGGGCTGTCCATTAGTATCTTAGGGTGCTGAATTCAGTGTGCTTTTTCTGCTTGTACTAGATAGGCATTGGTGGATGCTGATTCTACCTGACTTCTCTTTCTATGTTTCTATATTAAGTTGGTTTATTTTAATATTTTCCATCTTCATTTTCTTTCTTCTTGTATCTCCCAAATTGCATTTCCCATCCTTCTCAGGAGTTTAGGAATCCATCTTAAGAGGAGGCACCATGTCAGTGTTCTGGCTGTCTCCATTTCACCAGTAAATCATTGTCAATGTACTTTCTGTTTGCTTGCATGTGCAATGCTGCAGCTTTCCCTCATTTTTATGCTTGTGTTGTATAACCTGCCTGCCAAGAAATGGCATTTTTCACAACAGACATAGTATTTTTTTAAAATATGCAGATTTATTACTAATAAGACATAAAAAATAGACAGTCTTTGGACTACTTGTTGATTTCACTGGAAGATGGTGACTTGCCAGTAAAACAGTTCCCTTCAGTTCTTTTTCCTGTGTCAGTAATGCTATTTAAGAAAAAATCTCCTCTTGGAAAAGCAATAAATAAATATTAAAAAAAACATGTGTGGTATCCTGAAGAAAAGATTAGAGTGGAGAGGGGTGTCCATTGTGTGTCCTGTCTCATACCAAATAAAAAATTCCCCTCTTTATGTACCCAGACATATATTATTATGTGTCATTGATGAGGTATATGGCAGTAATTAAAAATGAATGTATGGACGTCCCCACCCAGATGACTTTCCTTAAGGAGTCCTTTTCACCCATACCATCTTTCAAAAAGGTGCTTAGGTAAAAGATATTTTAAAGACTATCTTGATTCCAGTTGAATGTCAGATGGAGTAAATATGACACACGTTTTTCTTTTACATTTCAAATACAAAGCATTTATCACTCACAGACATGTGGTCCTAATCCTAAATGAATTCATTCACTTCAAATACCACATAACATTCACACACCATTGAATTTAACACTATTAAAGGGTAATTTCCCCTAAAGGAGTTGTGCCGGCTGCAGCAACATTTGTGAGTCCTTTTATCATACCAAGGCAGGTAGAGATTAAAATAAAAGGCTTCATCAAGTGTGCAATCACATAGATACTCTTCATGTTGAATGGTCCATGTGTTTAAGTAACAGATAAACATTTCTGAACATCTGAACACTTCTGCATGTAATAACAAGAGCTGATTATACTCAGCTCAATCCCAAATGTTTTGTTGATGTTAGACAAGTGAGAGCCCTCTCCTTTTGATGAGTACAGTAATACAGAACTATAAGTATTATGGAAAAATCATTTTGTCCTTTTATCACTTGAATATAATAAAACCTAATGGAATAAATCACAGTACATATTTTATCTTGGCCCATTTTCATAATCCTCATAATATTTTTATGTTTCCCACCGTTTCCTTTAGTATCTCTACAATGATTTCTTAAGCACTTTATTACTACAGCTTTTGACTTATAGCAAACACGAAGGTTACAGTAGGACTTTTTGCCACATCCCCATCTTTTCACATATTCAGACTTTCTCAGAGGTTTTCCTTATGGGCTGAATGTTTTAAACATGGTTTCATCCAAAGATCATTTAAAAAGACAATGCTTCTGCAAAGTCTGTTTCACATGTTTTAGTTGCTTGGAAGGGTAATTATTTATACTCCTGATTTTCCTTTATTCCAAGGTGCCTTTACATTTCCCTGACACAGTAGAAGGGCCCTAATAATGCTTGTACCCACTTTAAGAACCCCTTCCTCTTCCAGAAAAAATATAAAGAAGTCTTATAGTCTTGTAAATAAGATTCGGGGCTATCTGATATTTCCACTCCAGAAAGGTCAGGTTGAAACTATAGCCCCTTCCAGGCAATTAGTATTTTGCCATTTACTTGAATGGGACCAGGTTTTCACCCTAGCACTTTTGTACATACATAGCTTAAAAACTGATAAATGTTTGGGAACAGATCCACAGCTGCTATTATTATTTTTTTATGGAAAAATTAATTTTTATACAAAACCGTTTTCATTTAAAATGTTCAGGTTATCACTGAAAAAATCTAAATTCAACTGTTTTCCAGGTTTACACAAAATATTTTTGGTTTAAAAATGAAAAAAATTCAGACTTTGCATGTTTTTTGAGAAAAAAATCACCAAAGTATTTATTAGAAGTATTTCATTTTTTGTTAAAAAAAAAAAAAGATGGAAAAATTATTGCTGCCCAGTCAGGTCTATGAGCTAACACTTTATCTAATTTTCTGTATTTAACAGAAGTTTTCCATCTGTGTATGTTGGATACATGTGATGTAGTGATTATTTTTTTATTTATCATGATATTTATTTCCATCTCTATTATCCATATGTGTCATATTCATCTGTAACCACTGTACTAGAATTAATAAGATTCTTCTGCTTTAATAGTAAAAATACCTGCAGTGTCTTAGTTATCAATGCATGTGCTCACAACTTTAGGAAGACTCTGCAATATAGCAATCTCCTGTAAAAGCAAATCTATTTATAAACAAACAGGAAAAAAAACTATGAGACATTCTGTATGAATTAATTACTCTGAGTGGAAAAGAAAGATCATTACTAGTTCACTACGGTACACAGTGAGAGCAACATTTGAAATAAATGTAATAGACTAACTTATAAAAGACCAGAGTGTGTGTATACTAAACAAAGAAAATGCCCAAGCCAATGCCTTTCTTCTCCACTGCATATATAGAGGAAGCAGCACCATTACTTGGAGTTGAATATGCTCACCCTAATTTTTAGTCTGATCTATGAATGTTTAAAATAAATATCTGTCCTGAAAATTAAAATATGACTTAAGTAGTAATATCACCATTCTTCTAGTGTTTTCAACTTGACATTTTTTTATTGTAGGAAGCAGAGCCGGATAGAATCTTCCATAACCTGGTTAATTAGCTTAGCTTTTCCTGTTTGTGAATTGTCTATGAGCTGTTATTTTTTCAGAATTATTTAGAGAATATTTTCAGCTAATGATTCATTGAAATATTCAGTAGCAAAATTCCCTCTTTGTTATGGCTGAACATATAGGACCCATAGAATTGTGTCTGCTTCCTGTTTTGACAAGCATAGCTCTTAGACTCAGTTTTGCAGTACAAGTAATTACATTTAGGAAGCCAGTGTTCACTTTCCATGAATATTTTGTAATATTTGTTTGAAATTGACGGTTTTATCAATCATTTCTGTCAGAACATTTGTTTGATAGAATATAGCTGGAAAGCAAACACAAAAAAAGGCATGAGCACAGGCAAAACATTCATTTATTTTATCTGTGCAAATATCCATGCAAAAAATATGTTCATTCAACTCTACTATGAACTCTTGTGACCTACAAAACTTCCTCTCTGGCAAATAACTCAAGGGAGATGTGGTAGACCTCATAATCACTAATACTAAACAAGGATGTGATAAGAATCAGGCCCTGAGACTCTCCATTAGTAGCACGTATGATACAAGCTCTAGGACAGTATTTGAGTCTGGCACTTCAGTGCAATGGTGCTCTTTACAATATACATGCCTAGTGGATATTTGTTAGAACAAAATAACCCAGTTTCCTAAAACATAATCACAACCCTAGGACCTTTTTTATTCAAGAAAAGAACAAGTTTTGCAAATTGTATGGCATTATTTTCCTAATGCTCCAACAATCTGGTTTTCCATAATAAGATACTTGGAGTATAATGGCAAAATAGCTCATTTAAATATGCCTGGAGGGATTTCTGGTGCAGATAATCTGTCAGCATTATGCACATTTCATTGCCTGCAGAAGGATCCAGGAGATGAATTTATTTTTGACATAGAAATATATTTGAGTAGGGAAACTATTGTGTTAACTTCATATTGAACAGAAAGTAGGTCCTGACTCTCAGATGGAATAAAATGGCATTGTGCTAGCAAATAAAATGAAAAACATGCCATTTTATGCTACCTGAGAATCTGACCCAGAGTTTACAATAGTGCGTCACAAAGTTCTGTTAAAAACCGTCAAAATAGACCCAATTTTCTGATTAAGCTGCTGTTTAATGGCTATCATTTTTTTTCTCTTTAAAGGACCACCTCAGAGAACAGTGTCTCCCAAACAAGAACATGAAGAACAGAAGCACGACAAAGTTACAGACAAAGGAAGCGAAAGTGGGACTTCCTGCAATGAGTTGTCCACCTCTAGTTGTGACAGCCATTCCGAGGCCAGCACTCCTCAAGAAAATGCTGCTAGCACTCAACAGCCAACAGCACACCAGCCAAATACTCTCACATTGGATCGTCCATCAAAGAAGGCCCCAGTGCAGTGGATGCCACCACCAGACAAACGCAGGAACAGTGAACTCTTTCAGACTCTCATTAGCAAGTCCAGAGAAACAAATCTTTCCAAAAAGAAGGTATGTGAGAAGCTGAGTGTTGAAGAAGAAATGAAAAAATGTATTCAAGATTTTAAAAAAATCCACATTCCAGATTACTTTCCAGAGCGCAAACGGCCATGGCAGTCTGAACTCTTACAAAAATATGGGTTATAGTTAATAGCCTCTTTCATGAAGTTTCTCTGGTGCATTTGATGTTTATTAAAGTTGCCACTATCCTACTGCGTCCTCCTTATGGTCCACTCTGCCCCCAG